ATATATATATATATATATATATATATATATATATATATATACTTAAAATAAATGACATCCAAAAACATAGAAATAATTTTTTAATGTCTTAAAGTAGTACTTAAAAAAAAATACTTTCTGATATTGTTCTTCGCTTTTTCAATGACTTTATTGCTTGTTATTTCTCCTTTGATTAAATGCTACATGAGGCTACTTATAGCAATACAAGTTGAAAACATTATAATCAAAATGTCTATCAGTTTGTTTAGTGTAAATTGGAACAACAAAAAGTTTTGTTTCAACCTTTACTCTGTATTCACCAACAAAAACACAGACCTGTACATTTTTTTGTACTTAAATATGATTTATGATTCATTCTGTAATTTACTTTTGTTTTTGTCTAGATAACATTTGCAATATTTACAATTATGTAATCTGGACAACATAAATAACTAAAGAACACCGTTTCTTTTTCAAAATTACTGGTCATTTTTTCTTCCTATCATATCAGTTTTAAAGTTCTAATAATTTAATTATTTGCTCCTTATTGATATCAATATTGAAGTCAAATTACATTTTAATTTATTAATAATCTAAAATGTCTATTCCACAAGCATAAAATAAATATATGACAAAGGTAAAAATCTAGTCTTAAAATAATAATCTGGATCTTAGATCTTCAAGTAGTAGTATTCTCTATGTCTCCTCCTGAGGACTTGCTTGATCTTTGAGTTCAGCTGTTCCAGAGCTGTCACTGAAAAAAAAAAAAGAGCCAGTTCAATATTTTCATCCTAGGACACTGAAATAGAAAACCTCTGATGTTTTTTACTACCTTACCTCTCTGCATCTTTGTCTACCTGCAAGCGGAGAAAAAAGCCCTTCAATTTATTTGTCTTTAAAGATAATTGTTGAGTGAAAAAAAGTGCTTTGTGTGAATTTACCTTCGGCTTTTGTGATGAATTACCAGCATTCTTCCTGGGAACTCCCAGGGTCTCAAACGAATGGCTTCGTACTCTGATGGCTCGCTAAAGAAGCAAAAATGTTAGAGAAGAATAAGATAAAAAGAAAAGGTTTAAAGAGGTAGAGTAAGACTTTTAAAATAGGATTCAATTCAAAAGGCTATAAGCAGTTTCTTTTAGTACCGATGGAAATTATGTTTAACTGAGAATGGCCGAAACCAAACAGTAGTTTTAACCTTTTAGAAATCTTCTCTAAAAAACATCATAGTGGTTTATACAGTTATTGTTATCTTATGAACTCTTAACGCCATCAGCTGTTATTTATCCCAAAGGCTGATGATTGATTTATTGGAAATGTATGCTTGAGGTGTTGCATCACCAACAATTAGCCTTCTGCAAAAGCATTTTCAATAAGAAATATTGTGGTATTGGACATGAAGGCATGAAATTAGACGCCATGCCTTCCAAAAACTTTTTTTCCCCCCTTAGCTTTCCTGACAATCTATATAAACAACATTTTAATCAATGCAGGATGTTATTATAAATATAAATGTTTTTGTGAACTTGACAGATTTGGTGCTCCAAAAGTTTTGTCCGATTGCTTGTCAATATGTCCAAATTTCGCACGTGTGAACAGTCTTTTTCATTAAGAAATAAGGAAAACTCTGAAATGATCGCAAATATTTTTTGACTTAAAACATTGCTTAGTTTTTTTAAAGTAATCTTTACTCCACATAATGGTTTGACATTGAATAAAAAGCTTGTGGATGTTTCAGCCTCTCTTTCATCCGCAGAAAGAGATGGGTAGTAATTAGTTACATTTATTCAATTACATTTAATTGAGCAACAATATGGGAAAAAAAAGAGTACTTTAGGAGTAGGTTTAGTTTGCTGTACCTCTTACTTTTACTTTTTTGTAATATTTTTGTAAAGTGTTGCTATTCCTACTTGAGTAAACTCTCTGACTCCTTTGTCCTCTGTGCGTCATTTGAACTATTTCAAAATCAAGTAGATGTGCAGTAAACAGTAGATAAGAACTGTGGAAGTTTATTATCCTGTCCTAACATATACCGGTTCTCATTGTAAGGATCGGTTTTCTAAGTTTTTTATTGATATTTCGTTTGCACAAATTTGTTAATTTGTTAATTTATTTCTTCATAACTTTTAATTGTATTCTTTAGGAAGCCAAGCAGCCTTTCTACCAAATACCTTTTTACTTTTACTCGAGTAATTTCTAGGTTAACTACTTTTTACTTTTACTTGAGTTTAAAAAAATAAAATAAAGTACTGGTACTCTTACTTGAGTAAAATTTTTGGGTGCTCTACCCACCTCTGCAGAAAAAATAATTAAATTTATCACTAGCTGTCTGTTGTGAACAAACACATAAATTAATGCTAAAACAGGAGTGCTTCTGATTGGTTGATTATCTCCTCGTTATGGCTCCTCTTCCCAGACGCCACAGTGAAATTAGTTTGATCTAAATCTATACAGAGACTATTTTTCTAACTGTCTGAAAAGGTCTTGGACAAGCCCCCCTTTGTCTGTCTGCAAGCTAACCAGGAAACCTTTGATAAAAAATAGTTCTTTATTCAGCTTAGATAATACTTTCTAGTATTAACAGTCCACGGTAATGCTATCCCTTTTGATTAGAATAGCTGTAGAGTTGTTAGGAGCATCTTTATTCTTTAGACTCAGTTGTAGGGTAATTCTATAACTCATTAAAATATCAGGAAGTAAACCTGAAAAATTTGCACCATATAAAAATAAATAATTCATTCCTTAGACTGATTTCAATCATGTAAGCAAAAAAGATGAATGAACGTAAAAGGAAACAAGTGTTAATTGAAACCTTCATTTAATTCTGACCATAAAAAAGTCAAGTTTCACAACTGATGGTGGAAGACTCATAATAAAATATTTTATATACTCAGTTATGATCTGATTAGAACCCTCAAATCCAGAACTTTGCCTTTCATTGAATTATATGATGAGTTTCAATGTTTACCTTGAAATTCTCAATAAAACCTCCGCTTCCTTCAGAGGCGCCCCGTGTGTTCTCAGAAGGAGGGGCGGCAGCGATTGATGGATCCCCCATCATGCAGCGGGAACGACTGAAGAGTTCATTATGCAAGCTCTCCAGGAGCGATGAGCGTGTACGCAGCTTCACATGAAAGGAGTAATACTTTTATCAGATGAAAACAGATTACAGAATAGGTCTGGGTGTTGTTAAAGAGTGTTATTAAAAAAAACATATTTCGTTCTGCTACCTCCAGCCTGCTGAACTGCTCAGCCTTATAGCAGGAGATCTCTGCGTTGATAAGTTTGGTGAGAAGGAATTCCCTCAGCTGTAAAGGCTTAAAATGAAGAAAGGGAATTCAAATTATCATTGTGACACAGATCAGGATCAGTTAGAGAGTTCATGCATAAATCATATGCAGAAAAGATTAAAAAAAAAGAAGCAAAGTTGATAATAGGACCATAAAATAATTCATCTAATATCTTTAATTTCTCTAATATCTAATACTTAAATCTTGTCTTGATCAATAGTTTTCTTCATATTAGGTGTTTGACAGCCTTTGTTTATTAAGCCATGTACTTGTGGATGACACCATGTTGTGCAATGAGTATGTATAAAATGAGAAAGTAGAAAAATTAAGAGGTTTGATCCCTGAAGATGGCAACATTGCATAAAAAAAGGTCTAATATAAGATACTGTTAGAATAAAGAAGGATTTTTAAAGATCTGACATCTTTTTGCTAACAAAGATTAAGTTTTATGTTTTTCTATTGTTGCCGATTGAATAGAGAAATAGCAACAAATTGAATACAGAATGATGAGGTTAATAGATATATATTTAGAAATGTTTCTTTGCTAAACTGTCATTTACAGGTTTATATTAATGGTTTTAAGTATCAGAAAAACTAAATCCTTAAGTATTTCAAGGGATTTACTTTTTGGGAATTACTGGAATCTGATCTAAAGCATAAAACCCATTCAACAATAGTGTTACTTACTAGAGAACTACATTTTTTCAGTATAGAAATGTTTTATAAAAAGGTATTAAGTTAAAATTCTATTTAAGCAAGGTTTACTTTCTTTTTTTAGGTACCTCTGGATTTCAAGTTGAGGAAAAAAGTGACCAAAGTCACGCAAAAACCTTCCACAAACCTTTGAGAAATATTGATTCAGACCCTTTAAAAATATTAAAGGAAATCTGAGTCCCTTTTAATGAGAAAAGTCAAATCAAGCAATAAAATAGACAGCTGCACTCCTAAAAAATAGCACAATAATTTACATATGAAAAAAAGAAATATAAAAGTAGATGTTTTACATCTGTGAAAAGTGGAGGATCAGGGATGACGGGTCCAAAAGGAGGCACATCCTCTCTGGCTGTAACAGACACCTGTAAGATA